TGCTCCCCAGGACTTACCAAACCCGGGTGCAGCAGGGCACTACAGGGCTGCTGGAGCCTGGGGGCACAGCCTGAATAACCCCAYGACTGACAAGTGCAGACAAGTGACCACATACACGGAGGGAGAGCAGCTGCAGGCAGCACCGTGCGCCTGTCGCTGCAGCATCTCGGGAAGACAGTATGGGGCCAGAGCTGTCACTGTGCACGCTGCACCTGTGACTTAACCAGAGAGCTCAGACATGCATCTGTTTTCCCCAGTTCTGCCAGCTTTGCTATAACCTCCTATCCCCAAAGAGGTCTCATCCATGAGAGATGATCTCCTCTTGGGTTCGGTACAACAAACACAGGAAACTGAAAGAATCCCAACACGCTCCACTGGAGGGTCACATCCCTTTCCTCTCCGGTTGCTAAAGAAYTGGGGAAATAAGACAAAAACAAATCCCACATAGCTGAAAGGCCTTGACTACTGCTGCAGTTTGGCTTCACCACACGATGCCTCATGTAGCCTTCTGCCTAATCAGGCAGTTTCCAGTTATCCTATGGTCGAAGGACACCCCTGCTCTCTCAGTTCATCCAAGCTGCTGTGAGACCAGGGATGAATGAGCCCTGGGCACAAACAAGAACGAATGAGGAGGAAACAGGACATTAAGTCATTTAGGCAGTCAACTTAAATATGAGGTTACAGCCCCTGTTCCCCAAGTTGCAAGTGTGTTCGAATGCAAAATACATAAAGCAAGATAAAGGACAGGTGGAAGTTAAAGTTGAGACATCCTGATCTTCCACTTCGTATTTGCACCATAATATTCTTTATTTGCCTAATCATACACTATTTTTCTTTCCAGGATGGATTAGCATATATTTCCCCATCATGCAATATTAGCATCTCCTCGTGACTCCAAAGCAGCAGTGCAGGAATGCAGTACATTAGCAGAAAAGGAGAAACTCGCTGGAAAGCAAAATTCTGGACCCATCTATTCCTTCCTGCTTGTTGGCTGGCCTCAGCACATCCCTCCACTGGTTTCCTCAATCCCAGCATGTTTGCATTCCCTATAATGCACCTCAACTCATTTTTATCTAGATAAATACTTTAGGACTTCTCCTAAAGTAAAACTTGTCTATGAACTGCACAGTAGATTTTCGCCACTGCAAAAAAAGACTGAAATATAGTACAAAAAAGTACAGTACAAAATAAAACTGCAATTTATTAACTTGGAATTTGCTTTGTTTTTCTTCTGCCTGTTCTATAAGTCTGTCCCTTCTCCTTTTCTATATCACTTACAATTCTTTAGTGTTATACATGGGAGGGCATTTGGATCTCTGAGACTGGGCTTTATGTCCCAGATTTAACGATACTGGTACCTGGGCCGAGCAGCAAGGGTAGTGCAGGTGTGCACACAGCTCTGAATGCCCAAGTCACCAAGCAAACTACGAAGAGGAAGAGTGGGTCTCGCTTATAAACATCAGTCATTCCACTGAAAATCCCAAGGTGTGCACTTCCGTCCTTGCTCTGCTGAAGAGTTTGTAATCTGAGACAAAGCATTTCAGCATCACCAGGTGCTTTTGTAGCTCTAAGATGATAAAAAGGAGGATGGAGAACACGATTTCTTTAGCCCTTATAAGACACATTGAATGAACAGGCATTATTGCACAACTATGTAATTTACACTTAACTCTGCAGGGTAGATTTCTATGAAACTAGGCATGAAACAGCACATGGGAGCCCTGTCTGCAAAGACAGGGTGGAGATCCCCATCAGGTTGCTCTTTCCTGAAGTGCTGAGCACACAGGAGAGAAATCGTTCCTCCACAGAGAGTCTCCAGCAACTTCCCACCTCGCCGCTCATGCTGCTAAGCAAGGCACTCAGCTTCTCTCTTCCTGATACAGTTTGGAAGGGCATTCCCAACCAGCAAGTTTCCTTCTAGGAGAAGTTTGCATTACCTACATAGCCTTCCAATAGCCATCAGACTCTTGGCGACTTTGCACTTTAAGTGCCATGGAGAAGGAAGCACAGTTGGTAGATGATTACTCTGCACACTGTCTGGAAAGCCTTTCACGAGGCAGTGTTCTCTTCTAGCCCACGTTATTCAGTGCTGAAGCTGTGGACATGAACTCATCTCACATATSCAGCATTATTCATGGAACAATTTCTGCTCCCACAGTTGCACATCCACATTTAAGCAGATCTAATGGAGGGATTCAGATTGAGATCAGGACACTCACATCTCAGGATTTATATCTAGGTATAACTAGATGCTCAAATGCCCTAAATACACAATCAAGACCTCAGTAGTAAAATCAGTGGAGCCTGCTGGAGCACCCAAGGAAACTCATACTTCCTGTGTCAGTGAAGAACAGAACTTCTTCCACTATGGAAGTTCTTCCAACTTCCACATTTTAATTCCCTGTTGCATTGTAAGAACTCATTTATAGGCCATAGTATCACAGTAGGCTAACTAAAACAAAACTACAAAGCTTTCCAATATGAAAAATARAGCATCTTTCATTACATCAAACAAAACACTTCCTGTTTTCTAAAATATCACCAGCCAGCTGTGGCAATGTAGAGACATCAAGTGGGACTCAAAAGCATAAAGTGTTGTGTAAAAGCAGCATGGTGAAGACTCTCTACAGCAGTCTGTTAGCTCTCAAGGACAAGCAAAACACTCTACAGAATAAACAGACAAAAAAAAGACAAAAGACAACAGTRTAAATGAATCTTGTAAATAAGAGTCCTGCAGAGAGACTTACAAGGAGCTTTACAACACACATCAAATTCCCATCATGAAAAACTGATCTATAGCATATTTTAAGTATAATAGATGTTAATGGCTGGGTCAGCAGATAAGCAATATCCATTACCCTCTCTGTAGCCAGGTCACTTGGGATTTTGAGAATCCCATGATGTTTGGAAGCCTCTTCTATCAGTGGCACCAGGTCTCTGTGCCCAGCAGGGGCTCCTGTCCAGCACTAGCAGCCCCCACCAGACACCTCCCAGGCACCCGTTTCTGTCACAGTGAAAGGCTAAACCATCGACAGAAGATCTCCCAGCTTTCCCACTGAAACATATATAAAGACTGTGGAATTCAAATATTTTTTGCTAGTCCTGTAGCTATTAAAGACTTCTTCAGCGTCCATCTTCCTAAATGACATTCTACTCGCCCCATGTGCAATAATCAAGTGGAAAACAGATTTTAAATGTCATACGCATGAGGAAAACCCCTTTTCATATTCAGAGTGAATTCTACAGAGAAATAAAAAGCAGCTTTTAGCCTTATGGAAGTGAAGCAAGCAGAGTGCAGAAAGGCTCTTGATTTTTCCCCCTTCCTCCAAAACTTGCTTCCAGAGCTGGCAGCTTTTTCATTCCTCTCTCCAAGACATGCCACTAAGGATTTGCATTGGGAAGGAYGGTTTGATTTTCAAATTCCAGCTGGTTTGTTTGACATTCATTTTATCTTCCTAAATGCTACAGACATGGCGCACAATTTGGAGTGCATTACAGCAAATGGTGGCTCTAACTGTGTCTGAGTACAAGGCAAGGCAAGTTTGGTCCCGCCCAGCAGATTTGCCCCAGGAAAGGGGAAAGGGAATGGGAAAGGAGGGAAGTCCACTACATTATATTCATTTTACTTTTGYCTGGATTTTTCTTCTCCTAAGACTCCTCTTTTTCTCTTCATCTTGGCTGCAGAAAGAGGTTCAACTTAGCACCATAACCCTCTGCTGACATTTCAGCTTGTGCACTTGTGCAAGGAACACTCGCAAAATGTTACTATATAAATTTCAGGTTAGCAAGACTAYATTAAAGGCAGCACTCACCAGATATCACAGAAAACAGTATGTTCTTTGTGGAAGAAATGTGTGATACTGAAAAGTTCTCCTCAAATTAGAATTTAGCTAATAATTAACCAACAAAGCAATAAAGCCTTTTTTTACACCCAAAGAAATACTTAATTTTAGTCTAATGAAAAATGCTTGATTTTACCTCTAAGGAAAAAAAAATAAAGAATCAAAATTAAGTGGGAAAAAAAGGTTTTACGACAATTTACAGTTTTTCTTCTCAAAAAATGGATTAAAACCAACTCTTCTCTAAGTTCAGATTTAGCTTTGATTAATGATTCTACTAGAAAAAATAGCCAAATGTCTCCTGCCTTTTATATATATATACACACACATAGCTGTCAACTTCCCCCTATTTTTTACCTCACAATATATTAAAGCAACTTTTTGAAAGAATGTAAGTGCATAAGGTATAAGTTTCACAGAAAACAAATGAGTGTCTTTGAAAACGTTATTATACTTAATAAATAAAAGGAAAAATCACTGAACGCATTTTGGTTTTAAGGTTTCCATTGAATACATATATATGTTTATATATATATACACACACACACGTAACATATATAACTGGCCAGGTCAAGTAATCTATAATAGAGTAACAGATGGAGCCAGATAGAGACCTTCTGAAGAAAGGGGAAGCAGGAAGGAAGTGAACAGAAACATTTAGCCAGCTCTGTCAATATGTTGGCATTTCTATTAAATAAAAAGGAATTACATCCTCCAGTTCTGTATGATATTCTGTTAAGTTTGTCTTCAAAAAGCCTAAGTTTTGCCCGAATAAATACAAGCAGCATTTCAAACACTTTTATTGTATTTCACAGATCTATGCAGTCAAAAGTGATGGACTCTCCTTACAAGACTTTTAATTCTACGTGTAAAATGATGATTTGACTTGCAAGCAAAACTTCATAAATCATTTCACTGATATTTTAGTCCCTCTAGCTAATGTTTCTGCACAATAAGCCAGATATTTTATGCCAATATTCCTTAAACAASGGCATTATTAAAAATCAGGTATATCATTATACTCTGCACAGAAGGATCTCTTCAGTCTATAAATCACATTTCATGACTATAAAACCACTAGAATTTTTATTACACAGAATTATTTAGAGCAGAAAGATGGTTCTTTTACTGCAGTGTAGTTCAGCTCCTCCACACACTTACCTCTGAACTGTTGAGGTGACATTTGTGAGTTCCTGAAAACCACCCCTCGCTTGAGCACTGGTCAATATCCACCTTCTGCAGATTTATGTCGACTTTAACAACACCTCTGAAAAAGAAAAAACAGTCATGAATACGGTGACTACAGAAACAACAGCTGAAGTATTTTATGCTTCTATAGCCTGTGAAGCAGCATGGCATTTTTCTTCCAACTATGGAATTTGATCAAATGACTGAAAAGAAAAATGACGAGTTTTGTGTTCCTGAAGGCARGACGACAGATTTGTATTTTAGAACTTACTGAAATGCATTACCTCGGGAATCTGGAAATTTAAAAGCACTGAATAAATGTAAGACAGCAGGTAAGAATAAATTATATACTCAACCAATTCAATACTCTTCATATTTCACGATGCAGCCGAGAACTACAATAAACACGGCTCATGACTTGCATTTCTGAGACGGTGCCGTCACCAGAGCCCCGTGCCCGAAGGGGCAGTGCCAGACACGGCCCACAGCCCCCACTGAGGTGACTCTCCTGCCCCACGGCCGTCACACCCGCTCTCGCCCGGGGGATGCTGTTGCTGACACACGTGCCCACAACCTGCACTACCCTCTTCCCAAACAAGTGACTTATTTCTCTTTCCCCGGCTCCAGAAAGTGCCTGCCTGCAGGTAGGGCCATGGGGTCYCTCTGTTCCATCCATGGCTCTAGCTTCAGGCCCACATGCTCCTCCAGCACTTTTTCCAAATCCCTCTCTCTCATCACTACGAGTCTACACTGAGAGGTATCAGCATTTTAATTCCATTCATGGAGATGCAAATAGCAGGAGAAGGGCAGTGACACCCAAACGTAGGCCACTGATGTCCAAAAGAACGAGAGTTTCCTACAAACACCAAACAAGTCATGAAGGACTCTGAACTGCATTAGTTCTATGCCAAGAACACTCAAGTTTTCCCCAACTTTCCTCAAAAACGCCCTTGACTGAAAACCTACCAACCCACTTTTATTATAAACAGCTCAGAAATCACCAGAAGGAAAAAAGTTGTCATCTTGTGCTTTCATATGTGAAAACAACTTCAGTTTCCTTACCTCCTCTAAAATAATTTACAGAATTACTTTAAGCATTGACACCTTACAGCATCTCCTTGAGACCAGACCATGCACCTGTGACTGCTCTGCCGCTCTGCCTAGCAAAATGTCAGTACAGACCTTTCAGTAGTTAGATCATTACCTGGATTCACTCATAACTGATAAATTGTATGCATTTCATATATCTAAGCCATCAACTTCCCCCACGTTATACCAAAGCTTTCATTTGTACAGCCTGAACTCCCATGACTACAGGCACCAATATCCTTTCAGGCAGTGGACTACCTTCCCAGCTCCAAGTTATTAATTCTTGCCTCCACTATGTCCACAACACRGATATAAAAACAGCACAACTTCAACTATGTGTTCTCTACTCTTCACTTGCTAATGTCAGAGTTAAGAAAGAGAACATTCAGCATGTAAGTTCTACTTACTACTGTATCGATGATACTACACACAATCAACTACTTAACACTTCTTACAAAACTGATCTGCAGAACTCTCAAGGGCATTGTACAAACATTTAACCATTTTCCAAAGCTTGGTCATATTAAACACAGCAGAGTCCTATTTCTTTCAGATACATACCCCTTTCCCCAGCCTTCGGATGTGCTAAGAGGTTTCCTGGAGAGCTCTCGGAGCAGCAAGAACACGGCTGACCTACCTCAAGAGCACCTCACTCATCTCAAAGTATGCTGCCCCTTTCTGTTGGAACACAGTATACATTTATAGAAGAGAAGCACTATTAAAAATAATAAAAAAAAGATAACTGTAGAGCTATATAGCGTCACTTGTGAACAAGGTCAGAAGAGCAGTAAGGAGGAAGCTTCAAACTCGGTCATAGCTGACACAGCATGACCAAGCGGGCAGTGTTCAAAACTGCTTCATCTGAAGATGTTCATGAGACATGCGATACAGTCACTGGAGAAGCACAAGCTCCTCATTTAAGTCATCTGAAGCATTCATTAGAAAACTTTGCAAAGCACCTAGGAGGAAGTTCATCACTATGGACCCTCCCTCTCTCCTGCCCAGAACCTAAACAAAAAGTCCATTTTTTTTTTCCTGACATGTAAAACAGCAGCAGTGTATCATCCTAATGCTCTGACTTCAGGTACTGGAAGGTAAGTGTGCTTCCAGATTTTTAGCACAAGAATTGCTAAAAGTAGACATATTAAAACCCTTAAACTTTTGATACAATTATTTAGTTCAAAAATAGACTTCTAAAGCCACAGAGTATTGAGCTTAGAAGGGAAATCTGGAAGAGACCACCTAGCCCAATCTCCTCCTCAACCACAACACACYGCTCAGGGCTAATCCACTTCTGAGACCCTCCAAGGATGAAGACTCCTAAACCCCTCTGCCAACCTATTCCAGCATTCAGTCACCTTCACAGGATTTTTAATTTAAAAAGAAAGTTTGCTTGCTTTTCAAGTTCTTTCTATTTGCAGGCCCAATAATTTTATCTTAAAGTATTTTCATCGTACCCTATTTTTCAGAAGCACTGCAGAAAGWTTTCATTTTAAACTGATCTTTTTCCTTTCACATGCTCTTGTATTAAAGCTTTTAAGAACAGAACATTTGTCTTGCACAAAATCCAGAAGGAGAACCATGCAGTTCAGAAGCAGGCACATGAAAACACTAAGTTACAGGGCATTCAGGACTTCAGCCTTTCCCCTCTCTCGATTCTCAGACCTCTGCAATCCATATGCATGTTTCATGGCACCACTATCGTTCTGGTTAGTGAGAAGAACATCTGTAACTACTTGAGCATTTACAATTCTTTCCAAAGAAAAATTTCTATAAGCACCCATGTGGCATTTACAAAAGGCATCATTATAGCACAAATCTTTCACTGTCCCCATTTGGGATTTTTTTGCCATTTTAACACTCTCTCAGACTTGCACTCCAGCACTACACCAAGTACACGGGTACGTGCACCATGATATATTTCTGAAATTCATCTGTGATTAATATACTAACTGGTACAGCCTGCTTAGCCACCCACATTTATAGTTATTTTTGATTCTGCATTCGGAAAGGGGAACATATGGAAGAACACATCCTCCTAGTATGTATACCTCTAAATGTGATATTTATTGAACGAGCTGGAATTAATTGCAGCTATGCTATCTTTATAGACGATACAAATGTCAGGGGTATGATAGTAAGACTCAACTTGTCAGCATAACATGTTCATCCTCACTGAGAGTGCTGTCTGGCTGAACCCAAGCCACAGTGGTAGGTTAATAATAATATTACTGGTAATTGTGGACCATCTGGCAAGTTAAGTATATTTTGTTAATCTCCTTACAACTATAAATATTTGTTTTCTGCCACAATTTCACAGTCCTTGTACAAAAATGCTTCAAGCTTACAGCTTCTCACTTAACCCTTTTGAAAACTATGAAGAAAGAATTACTTGAGTAATTCTTTCATCATGGATGATCGTTGTGGAGTGATGTCAGCAAGGATTTTCTGTCGGGTCAGAGGGCTTAAGAGGCTTTCGTGCCTGTCTTAATTTCCAGTACCACTGTTTGTTGGCATTGTTTGCCTTGAATTCTATGCCAGAAATTGATTTAAGCTYATTTTCCAAGGCTACTAGCTATCTTGATAGTTTCGGTAGTTACAATATATTTCATTGTTCAAGTGTCAATGTCTGTATCTACAGAAGAACTTGGCCTGCACTGTCACATCAAGGAGGAGGAGCAGGGACTCTTTCTCCCATCCTTCTCAAGTGAACCTACACAAAATAGCTTGTCAATGCTAGTAGCTTGTCAACACTAGTGATAGTTATAGTAGTATAGTGTGTATATATATATAGTATATAGTACAGTATAGTTGACACTAGCTTGCCAACACTAGTAGCTAACAAAATAGCTTATCAACACTAGTGATAAACAGTATCTTTGCCCTTTACATGGTGGGAAGCTTATTTGTACAGAGGTCATCCCAGCTCAGCTCAACAGGCATTCAAATTCTGTCTCCCACATTTTGATATTTATTTTTGTTTTGGTAGGAATTAAAAGCAAATAAGGCAAAAAGATATCAAACATAGATAAAAATCTCCATAAGAAGGTAATCTACTAGTAAGTTGCATATATGTGGTTTATTACTTACAGAATCAGAGAAGCCTTTGGAATTTAAAACTAAAAGGGAACATATAAAACAGCTCTCAACACTGCATAACACTGGCAAGGAGAGAAATCTAAGTTGCAATGACCCATTTGAACTCTTTCAGCAAAAGCAAGTATTTCATTTGACTGATGTCAGATGAGACAGAAACTGATGAGGGATCCTGCCTGTCTTGACAGAATGCAAGTCTCTTCATCGTGTTGCACTGCAAAGTAGAAAAATTCACTGTGGGAAGTTTAACCAGACAAGTGCAAGTGCCACAGGGCAGCAGCCCAGCCCCAGCCTTAACTAAGGCACTGGGCACAGCTACTGCACACCAGGGCGGGTACCCTTCAAATCGAAATGCATTCTTCAGTTTTCTTCTGCCATGCTAGTTCTCCCGTCTCCCCATTCCTCCAGGCATCCTCCTCATCATGAGGATGGAAAAGAGGCAAAAAATTCTGCACATGTTGAAACTTGAATGTCTAGAAAAATGCTTATTTTAATCATTAGAGCCAAGATTCAGTGTAGACACCAATCTCTCATTTTTGAAGGCTGATACATTCAAGAACAGTAATTTTCAAAGYGTACACACTACCTTAAGCCTGAGACTCCTTTAAAGCAGCTTTAGACGGGCACTCCAAAACAAACCATTTCCTGGTGTCAACTCCTCAAGTTTTTCTGGCAATCCCCAGCTTCCATCACTCCTCAGGACTACAGCTCACCCTTCTGAAAGCGTTATCTTCACACTGTAGGTGTATGTGTCCATCCACATGAACCCACAATGATTTTGCTCTGGTCACTCAACTTACCATCACCTGTTAAGAAAGGGAGAGAGAGAAGCCTCTCCAATTCCTTAGCTACAGCACACGTGCTGCTTTTCAGCAAGCACCTTCACAGGAAAAT